CATAAGGGAGAATATTGAAAGTACCATGGTTTCAAATATAACAACAAAATGAATTCAGAGACTGGTCCCTTATGATAGCACATCCAAAATACATCAGACATAGTTTTACCATAATCATTTCTAAGGAGCATTCTCACTATACTTATTTCATGATTGTTTTGTTAAATCTTAAGGCAGTTCATTGTATATTCAATATTCTTCATCAACACCATAATTTACTCTAAGGTGCTTCAATATCTGCCCCATCTCTCATGTACTTGTGTTTTTTAGGACAATATTTTATTAAACACCAAAAGAACTGCATTTTAACTTTGGTATTTTACACAGTGGGTCATGTGGCTTTGGAAACTATTAAAGAAGAGGAAGCATTGATTTTTCTTAAATTACACAGATAGACCATGCCAACTTAGTCTATAGATATACAGAACCATTTCCCTGCTCTGTGTTTCACTTAATTACTGACATCAAATAAAGCAAACAAATGGCTTCACAGGGGTAACTCCTGAGACATTTTGAGTAGCTCTTCACAAATTTTACTTCACTGGATTGTTGGTTACAATTCTGAACATTTGTCAGGAAATAAAAGTTATTCATCTGTAGTTATGTGCTCAACTGCCTTGCCATTAAGATTTGTGGATGTCATACTTAGACTGGATATTGTTACTATTGTTGAGTTCTGTCATGTCAGTTCCGACCCATAGCAACCCTGTATAGGGTTTCCAAGGAGCAGTTGGTGAGCTTGAACCACAAACCTTGCAGTTCAAATGACTTTACAATCTAGTGCATAAACCCACAGTGCCACACTAGGATTCTTAGATTTGATGTTGTTGTTGTTGTTAAGTGCTGTTGAGTCAAGCAGATACTAATCTCCAAAGATATCCCACCTAGTTGAAACATAGTTAAAGAAGGTTCTATACAGCAGACATTATTCAATGTCAAGCAAGTGATCATGAAAGGACAGTATGATAACCTTTCAAAACAGAACACCAAGTGTCAAAGAGTTTATCGAAGTACTTGGTACATAGTGAGTGCTCAATAACTAATAGCTCTTTTATAAGGATCATTAAGAACAAAGAATGGTCTTACAGAACACAGTAGAATATGAAGATTCCAACTAACAGCTTCAGTATGAAGCTCAAAGTCCAAAAGAGAATTCTAAATTTTTGTAGAAAATACATTAATAAATTCCAAAAGTAGGAAGAAGGAAGACAGTGACTAGTGAACACTTTAAATATTTACTCATCTTAACTAGAGTGAGGGACAAAAAGGTAAAGGAAGCCATAGGTAAGTTTGTAGTTCTAGAGATACATGGTATAGAGCTTTGTGGAGAGTAAAAAAATGTTTGAAATTTTTGCTACTTAGAATTAAAGCAAGGGAGTAGAACAATCAGTAAGGCAATTGAAAATAGGATTCCATAGGTCAGGAAGTCAGAATTTCCGACAGTAAATAAAAGGGCTTTGGAAAGAAGAATACAGTGATCCGTTGTATTAGGAAGAAGAAGCCTAGAGAAGTGCAAAAATGAATGGATAGGAAGAGAGAACAGATGACCAACAAGATTTACCTTTTAGGTGATAAACAGGAAATAACTGAAGTCAATGTGGTGAATTTTATTTCCTGAAAAACAACAGGTCTCTGAGAATCATAAAGTAGGTCCAGTAAGTAGACCTGGCAGTGGAGTGGGAAACAAAGCATGCCTTAATCTTTTTATTTACAGGCTACACAGGTGCAGTGTCCATGAGTAAGTGAAAGGTTAGTGGTCTATCAGAGAGAGGCAAATAGCATTCAGAAGGGATGGACCATGGTGACTTCATGCATTTTCTCAGTGTTAATTTTAAAGGTAGAAATGGCAGGGACTCAGTGGACCTTTTCCTGCTCAAGATCATTGTGGACTGAATCTGTAGATAAAACTATCAATCACTCAAGTTTATGGGAATTGGGGAAGATGGAGATTGACATGTAGTATCTGAAATAAATAAAAATTAACTGACAAAGTGGCCAGCATCTCAAGCTTCTCATCTCTGAATTCTGAATAATGTATTCTCAATATTTTCTGATTCTGCTCCATTTCCTAGGTTTAACAGAGGAAGAATCCCAAAACTGTGTCAAGACTGAAACAACAAAACGCTTTCTTTTTGTCAAGAAAAAAAAAGTAGTACACCAGTGTACAACAAACAAGCTGTCAGAGAAGTATGAAGGTAACAGGAGTCTTGCTTGGTAGCTCATCTGACATGTCCTGATGCCAGTTGTAACTTAAGTATCATAGGTATATGTCTGTGCTAATTTTGAATTTTCACTTATTTTGTGATAGAGCCATCTTTCTGTGGCAGGGGGAAGCACAAATTAAAAATCATTACCATTACTTTAAAAAGGAAATTTGTAAGGTTTTATTTGTCATACACTTAGAGTACTTGATTTAACAAACAGTTATTTATGATCAGAACTCTATAACTCAATTATGAAGTAAAAATGGGTGTGAACCAGGTTCTCCTGTCAAGGAGCTTACAAAATAAGCAAGCATATAAATAGCCATGAAAATATAGATTAATCAAAGTCCAAGGGAGATATTTTAAAAGAAAAAAAAAAAAACTATGGAAATACAAGTATTGTTGTTGTTGTTGTTGTTGTTAGGTGCCATAGAGTTGATACTGAATCACTGCGACCTTATGCAAAGCAGAACGAAACACAGCCCGATCCTGGGCCAACCTCACTATTGTGCCACGCTTCAGTTCATTGATGCTGCCACTTGACCAATTATCTTGTTGGGGTCTTCCTCTTTTCCAAACATGATATACTTCTTCATAGACTGGTCACTCCTGAAAATATGTTGGAAGTATGAGAGACGAGGTTTGACCATCCTGGCCTCCAAGGAGCACTCTGGCTGAACATCTTCCAACATGGATCTGTTGGCTCTTTTGGCAGCCCATGGCACTTTCAATATTCTCCTCCAACACCATAAGTCAAAAGCATCAATCCTTCTATGGTCTTCCTTATTTACTGCCCAGCTTTCACATGCATATGAGGTTACTGAAAATACCATGGCTAGGGCAGGTGCGCCTTAGACCTCAAGCTGGCATGTTTGCTCTTCAACACTTTAAAAAGGTCTTGTGCAGCAGATTTGCCAAATGCAAGACATCGTTTGATTTATTGACTACTGCTCCCTGTTGACAGTTGATCCAAGAAGAATGAAGTCCTTGACAACTTCAATTTTTTCTCCATTGATAAGAATGTTGATTACTGGTCCAGTGGTGAGGATTTTTGTTTTCTTTACATTGAGATGTAATCCATACATCTCAATGTAAAGAAATGTAGGCTGTGCTCTTTGATCATTATCAGTAAATGTTTTAAGTCTTTTTCACTCTCAGCAAACAAGGTTGTGTCATCTGCATGTCGCAGGTTGTTAATGAGTCTTCCTCCAGTCCTGATGCCATGTTTTCTTCATAGAACCCAGCTTCTCAGATTATTTGCTCAGTATACAGGTGTAATGTTTACAAATCGGGCTTCGAACCTGAGGGACAGCAGTTCAAAACTGCCAGGTGTTCCACAGGAGAAAGATGAAACTATCTGCTCCTGTAATATTATAGCCTTGGAAACATGTACAGGGTTACTATGAGTTGGAACAGACTCCATGGCACATAACAACAACCTACAGGTTGAGTAAGTATGGTGAAAGAATACAACCTTGTCGCACACCTTTCTTAATTTTAAACCATTCAGTGTTCCCATGTTCTGTACGAACAACTGCCTCTTGGTCCTTGTACAGATTCCTCATGAGCACATATAAGTGTTCCACAATACTCATACTTCACAATGTTGTCCATAGCTTGTCATGATCCACACAATCGAAAGCCTTTGAATAGTCATGGCACAGGTAAACATCTTTCTGATATTCTCTGCTTTCAACCAAGATCCATCAGACGTCAGCAATGATATCCCCCATGCCACGGCCTCTTCTGAATCCAGCTTGAACCTCTGGAAGTTCTCTGCCAATGTATGGTTTCAGCTGTTTCTATATTACTTTTAGTAAAACTTTACTCACATGGGATATCAAAGAGATTGCCCAATGATTTCTGCATTCCATTGGGTCACCTCTCTTTGGAATGGGCACAAACATGGATCTCTTCCAATCAGTCAGCCAGATAGTCTTCCAAATATCTTGGCATAGATAAGTGAGTACCTCCTGTGCTGCCTGACTTTCTTGGAAGATTTCAATTTGTATTCCATCAATTCCTGGTACCTTGTTCTTTGCCAATTCCTTCAATGCACCTTGGACTTCCTCCTTCAGTATCATTCGCTCTTGATCATATGCTACTTCTTGAAATGGTTGAACATTAACCATTTCCTTTTGGTACAGTGACTCTGTGTATTCCTTCCATCTTCTCTTGATATACTTTCTGCATTATTTAATAATTTGCTCAGAGAATCCTTCAATAACAAAACTCAAGTCTTGAATTTTTCTTCAGTTCCCCCAGCTTGAGAAATGCTGATCGTGTTCTTTCTTTTTGGTTTTCTGTGCCAGATCTTTGCACATTTTGTTGTAATATCTGTCTTTATCTTCTCGAGCTGATATTTGAAATTTTCTGCTTAGCTCTTGGACCTCCTCATTTCTTCCATTTGCTTTAGCATCTCTACACCAGAGAACAAGTTTCAGTGTCTCTTCTGACATCCACTTTGACCTTTTCCTTCTTTCTTGTCTTCTTAATGACTTTTTGCTCTCTTCATGTATGATGTTCTTGATGTCTTCCCACAACTCTTCTGGTCATCAGTGTTGAGTGTTTAATGTATCAAGTCTGGTCTTCAGATGATCTCTAAATTCAGGTGGAATATATTCAAGGTCATATGTTGGGTCTCATGGACTTGTTTTCATTTTCTTCAGCTTCAGTTTGAATTTTCATATGAGTAAGTGATGGTCTGTTCCACAGTCTTCCCCTTGCCTTGTTTTCACTGGTAATATGGAACTTTTCCATTGTCTCTTTCTGCAGATGTAGTCAATTTGATTTCGACGTATTCCATCTGGTGAGCTCCATGTGTATATTCATCTCTTATGCTGTCTAAAAAAGGTATTTGAAGTGAGAAAATCATTGATTTTGCAGAATTCTATCATGCGATCTCCAGCATCATTTCTATCACCAAGGCCATATTTTCCAACCACTGATCCTTCCTCTTTACTCCCAACCTTTGCATTCCAATCACCAGTA